TTTGCCGGCTGGCCTTCTTAGCTCGTGGGTCCTTGCCCTCTGGGGCGGTCTTGGCTCGGCTTACAGGGGCGGCGATTGGGCTTCCAAACGCTTGGCAGGTCTGGCAGCAGGGCGGCCAGAGTCGGCCCTTTCCCCCAGGTCCTTTTGTTGCGTCCGCGCGGCAGCGTCGAGCAGGTCAGCGTCGGCTCGCGGGAACCAAGTTACGCCGGCAGCGTTCGTCGGCCTGCTGGCGCCTAACGGCGCGGCAGCGGGCGGGCGACAGGGCATCGCCCCGGCAACTGGCAGAGCGACCTGCAGTCGTGCCACTCGTGCCCCGGCCCGTCGTCACTCCGAGCTCGCAGTCAGGCACTCGCAGAGTGTCCATTACCCTGGTTCCAGCCTCCGTCACTCGAGTCGGCCTGAGATGGCCCGATGGCTGCGCGGCATTCGGGCGACCAGAGGCGGAATGCCCTGGCTCCGTATCAATGTGACTGATCGTTCGACTAGCAGCAAAGTGCTGCTCCGTTCGCTGATCAGCTCTCCTCGCGGATCCGAATGTAAGTGCTCGAGCCTTCGTTCGCCGGCCTCCAGGAAAACTTGTGGCGGCGTGGCCCTCCCCCGCGTCATTTCTCGCGATTGGTGGGCGCGCATCACGCGGTTTCCCCGCCCTATCGCGGCGTAGCGGACGAACGCCTGCACCCTCGCAATTTCTGGGAAGCTATTGTCACACGAATTCCAAGAACTTAGGCGCGACGGTGGCGTCTTTCCCTATGCGTCACGGCTGGCGCGGGTCGCGCCGGACAAAGGGTAGCGCATTCCTCTGATCCCTCGGCGCGCCCTAACAGCCCCAGGTATGCTGAAACGGCTCGTTTCCTGGCGTCCTTCGCACCGGCGTGATTCCTTATAAAATTATTTTTCACGCGTCTCCACCAGACGTGCGACCGTCTCATTACAATATATTATTAGTATTTTGAACGTATCCTGAACTTGTCCCAAATTTCTCTCTCCCATTAATTGAGAATGCTATTTTATACGGAAAGGAGTATTTTATGGGCCGTTTCCTGTAACATTCAAAGGTTTAATTTTACAACAAAACCTCATGAACTTTTTTTGTATGAAATTTGGTCAACTTGAATTTTATGTAGAACACAAGATTCGGTAGGATTGATAGTTATGTAAACATATAAAAAAACTCAGAAAAACACCATTAAACAGTCACACTCACCCCCAGCTCCTCCCTCCGTACTTCAGGATTTTTAGTATAATGTGCGGAAGATACTAGCATAACAAACAATCAAGCAAGTTAATTTTTTTTCACTCGATTTTCCTAATTTGACTGGGCTTTAAATCCACTGAATCCTCCCGGAGCGATGAATTATGCTCGGTGGTGTACCGGTTAGCGTAACGAACTGTTATACCCAAGTTAGCGGGTTCAAACCCAATCGAAGCTGTGGAAGGGTAAAAAAATCCTTCGTACGCCTACCTTCGAAAGGGTAGTAAAACCAGCTGACCCATGTAGATTTACTGCATGTAAAAAATCCTCGAGCCTCCCTAATCTTTGAGCAAAATTCAAAAACGCCTGTTTTATCCCTAGAATGTTACCTCTCTGTGCCAGACAGTGAAAGGACCGTAGTGGACTATGCGTGGTTAGGCGGAGGAGCAGGCCACTTGACCTGAGCCTCCCCTCGGAAAATAAGGCATTGAATTGAATCATTAACTAAATCGAGAAATGGAAACGTCGTGCTAGTAATGTTATATTTTTTAATATCAAATATGATATTAATATCATATATGATAGCGTTTTAGCCCACTTTAATGCTACAATATCACACCTTCCGATTTTTTCTTCGGTCAGATCAGTCACTCGAATTGGAAAACCTAGAAGAAATAATCATCAGCCGCTAAAAGGTATATTTTCCTGATAAGAAAGGTGCCTTGTTTATACTGCGAAATAAAAACAAATTAAGATCTATTTGCTTTCATCGCAGAAACGATTTTACTCCTTAGCAACAAACCTATCTCTTTGATCTGAAAGATAAGACGAAGAGACGTACTGACGCTGGTGAGAAAGATCTCTATTAGGTTTAGCAACGGGTCTCCAATATTAAAAAAAGTAACTGAAACGGGATATCCCGAAACTGTGTACTACCGGAATACTAGAGGATTACGCACAAAACTGATCTCAAAAAGGCAATAGTATCTGCTGTTGATTACGGCTTAATTATATTTGTTAAAATACGGCTGAACGATAATTGTATACATGCGTTTTATATGTTATATGTAGGCGTGATCGAGATCGCCATTCCATCGATTTCGAGAGGGGGTGGTGTGCTCTCATCGCTTTGAGGAATAAACTTAAAGCTGCATTCTTATTATCGTCATCTGTGAAGCAACTATTTGTGAAAATCTCTACTTGGCAGAAACATTTTTAGCACAGTGAATTTTCGACCTACCAGCCATTCTTCACTCTACAAAGACTTGGTTGATTGCCTCCGAAAACGATCAAATGCTTACTCTACGTATTACTTTTTGTTATCTGGCGATTTCAATCTGCCAATGGCCCATGGAATGATATTCTTAATGGCTCGCGGATCATTTGTGATCCTGACCCTTTATCTATCGCATCACCTACTTAATCCATCATCGATATTACAGCAAGCCAGTATAACGAAGTCAACAGTCATGGATCACTTCTTAATCTTGTCTTTTCTGATCTTCATGACTTATCAACTCAGGAAAGCTTCCGCTACTAAAATGTGACAGGTACCATCTGGAACTATTGATAAGAATTCCACTTGAGAAATATAAAGACACTAACTCTAATTCCACAGTATTCTCTGATTTCAAGGGTGGCGATTTCTACTCGATTAACTATCGTTTTGACTCTATTGACTGGTTTTTGTTGCTTGAGAATGATATAAATGTAGATGTCGATTTATTTTATAATTGTTTGTTGCCATTGATGTTTATGTTCCAACGAGCTTCTTCAGACCCAGTTCTTTTTCGCCTTGGTTCACGCCTGAAATAAATAAGAATAGATTGCATAAAACATAAATCTTCTGAAGACAATGTTGTCTTCATTAGATTTGCTGAGCAGAGTAAACTGTTTAAAATGAAATCGGATACTTCCTATACGTCCTACATATCTCCCATCGAGAAATATACCCAGACTGACATGAAATTCTTCTGGAACTGCGCATCTTATTTGAGTGAGAATAAAGATATTCCTGGTAGAATTCATTAGGGAAACACATATTGTGATCAATCAAGTGAGGTAGAAGGTTTATTTGCTGACTACTTTATGCTATTATACGTGTCCCGTGTCTTTATAAAGTCTATTGGGCATGATGAGACTGATGAGAACTCCTTTGTAATAGATTGTATTCATCTGAATTTGGTCGATGTCTTTGAGGGTATGAGAACTTTAAATGCGAGTAAAGGGGCCGGTGCTGAATTTATTCTAAATATATTTCTAATAAACTGTTGATTTACTCTATCCTACCCAATTTGGATCTTACTGAGCAAACCCCTCTGCAGTGGTGTATTTTCTAGACGGGGGAAAATTCATCAAAGTGATACCGATCCACCAGAAAAAAGACAAAGCTGGTGTTTCGAATTATATACCTATTTCTATCTTGAATTCCATCGCTAATCCTTTTGAGAAACTGGTGGAGGTACACATAATAGATCCGAATCATTCTGATTGACAGAATGGCTGACCATCAAAATCAACGGTGACCAATCTCGGAATTATACATGTCTTTGCAGCTGAGGTTCTGGATCATGGAGGACATGTGGACAAGCCTTTGATCGGGTAGACCATAACATCCTAGGGTCTAAACTCTTTAAGCTCAGCCTGAGAGATCCACTGCTGGCTTGGTTTGGGTCCTATCTATGAGAGAAAACAACTTGTCTCCTTAAATAGTAGCAATTCGGTATATTACAATGTTCCCTCAAGTGTTCCACAAGACTCCCATCTCGGCCCTTTGTTTAACAATGATCTACCTCAAGTTATCTTGCTTTTTGCTGATGAGGCTAAATTGTTTTCCAAAATCCGAAGTGAAACCGATGCATTTAATCTACAAACAGACTTAATATCGCTTTATGATTGGTAATTGGAGAATGGCATGCTGAATATCGATAAATGCTATGTTGTAAGCTTCGCAAGAAAAAGCTCTTTCACAATGTATACACTACGAGTATTGACAGCCGTCCTTCGAAATCCGTGGAAACACTGTGGACCTTGGTGTGACCTATAATGCTCGATTGGATTTCAATTTGCACGTTGAACTGACATAACAAAGTCAGGAAAATGTTGGGTTTCGTGTTACGGAACATGAAAGTTTTTCGTCATATCCTGAGTTTCAAGCCACAATTCTTTGCCCTTGTATGACCTATTTTGGGATAGGCAGTGCTAGCCTGGTTACCCTATACTGATACTTCATCCACAATGATTGAAAGAGTTCTGAACATATTTATGAGACATCTGGTATTTATTGACAACAATCCTATGTCAATACTAAATCACAACTACGAGAATATCCGGCGCGAATGAATATTGATACGCTATCAGCTAGAAGACTGTACCATGTCGTCTTTCTACACTCCATTATTATATATGTGTGCTAATAAACTATCCAAATATTCTTTCTGAAGTGCTCGGCAATGTAAACAGAAATTTCACCAACCTTTTAATATATACCTGTAGAACAAACTAATTGTGTAAAAATGAATTCAACAGACTTGCACGTGAAGCCAATTCAATTAGGCATTGATATTGACTTCTTTAATAATAACACTCAAATTCAAGACGTCTCTGAAATATTTTTTGAATTTGTAGTCCTTTACTTCACTTTTATTTGAAGTGTTCATTCCGTACAGTAATTTTTATTCATCTATTTCTTTGTTTTTATTATGAAACTCATTTTATTGATTTTAGTTATACATTTTCTACACGAACTGTATATGTATGAGAGTATTCCGTTAATAAATAAAATAATTATTATTGTTAATATTTTTAGGGTGGTTTCCTGCCAAATTCGTGGAACTTCTTGATGAACGTAGTAAACAATATTCTTGTGCTGGCGACGATAGTGTTTCTGAAGTTGTAACAGACCTTGTGAGAGGAACTTTATGCCCAGCTGTGAAGCAGGTTCTAGAACATGGAATGAAGAGACCAAAATTTTTAGGTTTGTAAATGGAGCATTTCGATTTTAAATATGTGTTATGGAGGTATTGTGTATGGATGTACGTGATAGGATGAGCCATTTCACATGATAAAACACAGCGTTTGTCCCTCAGTATTAGCAAATAAAGAATTCCTTTACTCAGTGCTTGATTTATGAAATTGTAGATCCCGGAACGCACCTCAAATTAATTATTAATTTAATAGAAAAAAGTTATATATTCATTATATAATTTAATAATTATTCGCGATGTACCGGAAAGTCATTCCGTGTTCCGCCAGAAATCAAACCCTGTCGTTACAGTTTCTACATCATAGTCAGAATTATAGATTCCTGTAGAAAGTGTTTTTTTTTTTTTTTTAATTTTTTTTTTCCAGTTTTGTTGCATTTGTATGTCACCATATCTTTATGCCCTTTTGCAAGTTTTAAAGTGCTGTAGTAGAGTTAGGACGTGTTTAGCGTTATTTGTGAACGAGTGCACTGCTATTGCGATAGTCATCTGGTAGAGTAGTACAGACAATCTCAAATCGTGCGCCGGGTCTTTCAATATGCCACTCTGTTTGCACTCCAATTCCTGGACATCACAAAATTTTGTTTTTCTTCCAATCCAAATCGTTGTATACAAGAATTATTTTATTTCCCTTTGGTAATACTTAAAACTTTCGGCAGAGTTTCGGCAACCACACAAAAACACTACTGATTGAACGTTGTAAAAGAAGAGAACTTGCCAATAACCTGTTGTGCAGAAACAGCGTTTCTTAACAAAATGATATAAGAAACATTTGGTCATCCTCTTGAGAAGACGGGTGTTTTTATGTGAAATGCCCCATCCTGTATATAGTTATTGTAAAATAATAGAAATTTATTTTTCGCCAATTTGTTAGGGGGACCTTGTCATCCTTGGCTTTTTATTGAAGAAGCCGCCACAAAAGAAGTAGAGAAGGATTTCAATTCTGTATATAGTCGTTTGGTTCTGTGTAAAACATACAGACTTGATGAGGACGGGAAAGTTCTGACACCAGAGGAGGTTTGTATATCATGTTAACTTTAGAAGATAATTTGAAAATTACGTTGCGATATAACCATTATTTTTATTAAATACGGTAAATTAAAGATGTTGTCTGGTATCAAAACGAAGTTCAAAGCAGAACTTGTTTTCGACCCAGAAGCTGCAAGCTCTGAAGATGATCTCTACGCAATCGAAACGATCTTCCGCATAATATATTTTTGATACCAGACAACAGCTTTAATTTACCGTGTTCAATTATTAGAAGGTCACCAGCGGTCTAATTAATAATATTATTTTTATATACCATTTTATTAGGTTACAGCACTTACATTATGCTGATAAGGAATAATAATAATAATAATAATATTTATTATTATTATTATTATTATTATTATTATTATTATTATTATTATTAAGTCTTGAAAACTACAGGCATTGTATCGTATAAGTCATGCTTTAATGAGATATTTTTTGTGCAAAATATAGGCAATTTTTAATTTTTTAAATTTTTTTTTCGGAAACGACTCTATTTTTTTCTTTAAATTTTCTCATGTCAATCCAAAAATGTAAAACGCGTGTTATAATTTCCGGCAAACTTTACGTTTTTTCGAAAATTGCCAAATGTAAACATTTCAAAACCACGAAGTTCAAGATATATATATTTACATTACAATTTGTTCTAAAAAATCAGCTCTTTAAAAATGTCTGTGCTGTTCTGCATCACTACTAGTTTGGAATAGATTTCATTAAAGTAATTTTTATCATTAAAATTGAATTTTTGTTGTTTTTTTTATTTTGCAATTTTCGAGAGAAAAAATCGTTCACCAAAAATGGGAATTGCGCCATTTTTATAAACGTACAATTCTCTTGTCAAGAAATAATTGGATTGTTTTTGAGAAAATATTCCTTCTAAATTTTTTATTTCTTACGCAACACTACTAATATTTTCGAACATAACCTTATATAATGGCCTGACTTCGAAGAACAGATTTGAGGGGGGAAATCTCTTATCTTTTTAATATTGTAATTGTAAGACGACGTCAGAAATGTGTAACTTTGATTTTTCGTAAATACAGAGTTGAATGAAACGCGACCTGCGCCATTGTTTGGCGTGTTTTGGTCTATCCGATGAAACAATGTAATAGAAACAGTTGGAGTCATTTTCGATAAAATTATGAAAGTGTAAGGACTTCATGAAAAGTAGTACACCCCCCCCCCCCTACATCAAAATTTCAGTTTCAAATTCGCAGGACCTGAAGCAGCGGCAAATTACATTTCTCTATTCCTCCTAAGTGTTCTGCGAGAAAGTAAAAGCAAAGATAAACTGGGTTGTTTCAATAGCACATTTTTCTCGTAATAATGGTAACAGTTCCGTAATATTGTAATAATAATGGAATGTTCAAAAGTGATTCTAACCCACAAAAACGTTTTCTCACAGGGATTCAAACTCAGGGACTTAAGTTTCCTAAGCATTTTACGTATGTATATGCTACGGCAAACGCTGTCATCACTAGAGGTCGGATTTTAGGGACAAACTTGCTAATATGTGCTAAAAAAGGAGCCAAAATATTGAAAATAGCCGCAAAAACTACGAAATCAAAGCTTGTTTAGGTACAAATATATTTCATGATTTTATACCATAATATGACATTCACATGAAAGGTTGAAAGAAAATAGGTAAGTTACATACAAAGTACATTTTCAAAACATGTCCACATCATCATTGTTCTTTGTAATGAGGTTCACATCTTCACCGTTCTCTGTGCCATATAAAAGTAATTATATTGTCTTACATCTAATGTTAAAGTTATCGAAACTTAAACGCTCATCCGTCAGAAAGTTAAGTAACTTGAATTTTGGCCGCACAGTGTTCCATTTTCCGAAGAGCAGTCATTCTAAACTCTCCTTTGCCACTTTGGCACCTATTTAGCTCAAAATTCCCCTATGTTCAGCGGCCGACAGTTGCCCCTCCAATTTGTTAATAAATGCCCAAAGGGCTTTGAAGTGCACACACAACGATGTTCGACAAGAACATTTGTAGGATATTTAGTAAGCACGTTCTTCACCAACAGTATACTACTTCTCATTCTTTATGCAACGCAATTCAACAGCTGTATACAGCGCGATGTGCTATAAGTTTTCTTTGAAATATGTCGTTGAGTTACCGGTGGGAGGTAGTAGTTGCGATCAAGCTCTTCGTTTAAACAGCGGTTGAGAAAACATCAGATTTGGCTTCAGAAGTGCGCAAATGTTGGACGTAAAATATCATCAGAAAAAATGTCCTTTGTCTTAACTGCGATAACTGGTAATGAACAACAATGGGTCTCCTTAACTTTCGTTCTTCAGAGATTAAACATAGAGACAGGTTATTTTGGAGCAAAATGTAGCAGAAGTAAGTGCATGACTTGCAAAAATATTGATTTAACTTTGAACAGTGTTTGTTCATATAATGTGCACATTCAAAATAATTATTTTTTGTGGGTAATAATTATGAAATAGGGGAAAGATGTGGATAGAGGGTGTATTTAGGTGCAGTGGAGTGGTTTAGGTGCAAGAAAAGTTTCCGAAATGCTTAATTGGGTTACATAACATTGGAGATGAAAAAACAGAAAGCTAATAATGCGCTTTGTCCGTAGGTGCTCCACCAAAAAATCTTGCCCTTAGTCATAATTTAAGACCAGATTCCCGTGTAACCAGAGGTGGATTTACGCATAGGCCCCGTAGGCACGTGCCTACGGCGGCAAATTTTCAAGGGCGCAAACTTTTCTTGATATTTTCTAAAACAAATTTAGGTTCTCTAAAAACTATGACAGCATAAATCATATTTGTATCGTATTGGTCTTATTGTTGCTTTAAATCGACGTGAAACTGCTATTATGACCGAGGTTTGGGGATTTATTTTAGACCGCTTAAATGCGTCGAACAAACAACTGCAAAAAGTCGAAATCGATTTAAGTTCCGTGTTTGGTATTTACACTTCGCTTGTAGAACTTTTAAAAACGATCAGTGGCAATTTTGAATTTTTTGAAGAGAAGGGTAAGAAGCTGTCAAATACTGAAACGTACGAATCGGAAAACAAAAGAAAAAGGAAACATAAAATGCAATGTGATGAAACTAACGAGTATGCAGCAGAACTAACCGCACGAGACAAGTTTAAAATCGATACTTATTTGGTTATTGTTGATAAATTACTTGCAGAATTGAATAAGACACTTGAAGCGTATAAAAATGTATATGACAAAGTTAAGGCTGTCATTGAAATAGAAAAATTATCTTTGATAGATTTGGAAAAAGGAGCGATATTTTTATGTTCACAATTTCCCCAATATCTTGAAGAGTCGCTTGTTTCTAAGCTTATACATTTAAATTCGAATTTAAAAATCCTTGACGAAGATGTTAAGCCAACGAATCCTGCAGCTTTATTAAAGTGGTTACGGAAAGAAGAATTAGAATGTATTTATCCTAACGTTGACATTGAACTTCGATTTTTTTATGTATTCCGGTGGCCAATTGCACAGCAGAACGTTCATTCCCTTGTTTAAAAAGTATTAAAAATTATTTGCGTTCTATAATGACAGAGTATCGACTGAATTCCTTATCGTTATTATGTATCGAAGAAAATTATCTCAGCGTTTTAGATGATACTATAATTATTGATGAATTTGCTCACCAAAATACACGTCGCAAAATTTTACATCAATAGACAAATTAGCTATAATTAATAAAACATTATTTCAACTGTATAAAAAACCCCATCCAAAAAGTTAAATGTTATATTCCTTGTTTATAAAGGTAAATCGAAAATTATAAAAACTGTTACAACGTCGTAATTTCGTCGTAATTAATTCTAATCGTTCAGTTGTTGTAAATAAAAATATATCATATTCATATTTAATACAAGCTATTTATTTGTCTACTTCATTAGATTTTATGATTTCAGAAGTATATGAATCTGAAAGTAAGGCCCGTTGACGAAAGAAAACATGTTGCAATTCTAGTTGTCATGTTATAGTTTCCTTTTAATGTTAACGTTTCAGTGTTGAAACGTTAATAATGTTGAACGTTACATCCTATAAAGATACAGTTTATATCCAAAATTAGCTAATACAAAAAAATTATTTAATTTATGAAAACAATGTGCAAAATGTAATGTTACTTTTAAAGTTAAAACGTTCAAATTAATGAAGAATTGTTACTGAAACGTTACAATATGAAATGTAACATTAATTGTAAACAGAGGGCGGCAAATTTGATGTGCCTACAGGTGGCAAAAATATTAATCCGCCCCTGCGTGTAACTGCATCTTTTCTTTGCTGACTTGAAACTGGATGAAACCTTAACAGAAATTTGAATCATGAAACCGGCGTTATTTTAGTACTTGTACTTTGCACAAATTTCACGTTTTAGGGTTACTGCAATATAGCACGTTTTAGGTAGTCTTGCCTGAAAATCACACATTTTGGAATTGTAGTGGACGAATTTTCAAGATTTATAAGTTCATTGCATAAAATATAATTTTTATATTATTAACTTTTAATTTATCTTTTTTAAAGGTTTCATTTAAGAAAACTGCTTTTATGATATCCAACAAAGCATTCCGGTGATCTGTAAAACCCGAGTGACGTTTAATTCGTGTCAATTCTGAATTTTGTTTGTTTAAAAACTTCCTTTCATGGTGCCTATTGTCTAATTAAAATTTCTGAGGGATTTCATTTGGAAGTAGAGATATGCGATGATACCACGAACTAGGTCCGCGGCTCTTTGTTTGCGGTCGATCTTTCCAATCCGATCATATATTGTAACGTTAATTAACTGGCCGTGCGTCGGGCATGTCAGTTTATAACACAATTCTTGTTCACGATTATCTCGCCTCGCGTTGGTCAGATATTTTGTAGACTACATTAACCTTGTTACTAATGAATCCTATTTTATCATGCCTCATGCTGTGTAGCCATTTGTGACGTTTCTACAATTCTTCTAATTTAATTTGCCCTGCTATGCCCGTAAATTAATTGTTC